AAGGGAAAAAGAAAAAACAAAGAAGAATATAGAAAAAAAAACAAATATGAAAGGGAATATAAAAGAAAAAATTACAAAGAAAACAAAACAAAAAGGGCAGTAGAAAATTCTGTCTTTTTAGCACTACTATTACTCATGCTAGGCTGAAAAAAATTATATAACAAATATAATATTTGTATATCTCTAGTATAAAGCTTCGCCTTATTGAATAAATTTTCTGACTAAATTATCTAGACTCCTAAATGACATAAGCGGCCAATCTCGGTATTACGTGAAGCAGCACAGTCTATAAACAAAACAAACCAGACATATGATCGCAGTCTGCCAAAACTGTTCAGATTTGGGAGGTGTAAACAATGCCGATCTTTTGGAGGGAGTAAGCTGTTTTGCTCACTTTTGTGGGAAATTTTGGAAGAGCAGCGAGGTGGCGGAGAAAAGAGACAAAACTACTTTGTTTTGTTTAATAAAAGAGTGTGTATTTTCTTTACTCAACACACTGAATCCATAGAAAGGCACTGGTACTCTCCTCATTTTTTTAGGTGATAAACTCTAAGCTTGTTGGCAAATAGCATATGAGAACTATTTCTAAATGACAAATGCCGACTCCCGCGGTGAGTGATAAACTCTAAGGAAGTTAGCAGGTAGTATATGAGAACTACCTCTAAATAACAACTGCCAAGTTATGAAGCTTGAGAACTACTTCCCAGACTGTTTTTACCTTTATAGATGCTTGTATTTTTTAAAAATTTTGGATTTTTGTGAAAAAAAAGTGATCATTGAAAAGAGTTGTGTATTTGATTATGTTTATTCTTTAGTTGACTAGAGAATCATCAATTAAACTACATTTTTCAAAAAACTGTTTACTAGAAAAAAATATAATATATTAGTATAAAACATTAAGTATTTAAACATAAGATATAAAAAAAGAGACCCTAAGATAGCAGCTGTTATTTAGAGATATTTCTCATATACTACTTGCTAATAGTCTTAGAGTTTATTACTTATTACAGGCATAGCACTTGTTGTTTAGAAGTAGTTCTTATATACTAATTGCCAACAAGTTTAGAGATTATTATTTACCAAAAAAATTAAATACTATGTAGACTTTAATACAACTGTTGATTCTAGTAAAAGAAAACTTACTCTTTTAAGTAGTTTTAAGTATATTTTTCTTTTTCATATATTTTGCTTATTTTACCAAAATTTTTGACAAAAAGTAAGTATTTTAGCTTACTTTCTGCAAAAGATTAACATTGTTTATACTTTTTATTTTCAAACAAATAAAGTAGAATATAAATATAGAATTGTTTTGGCAATAATGCTTCTATATTATGTGACACACTAATTAGCACTTTAGTTAATAAACTAATCTAAACTAAACAGTATAGTTAGAAAAAAATTAAAGATAAAGCTTAGCTTTATATCAGAAATATACAAGATTTTTTAAATTTAGTATATAATTTTTACAACTATATCTAATACAGGCTATAATAATACTTTTATAGATTGTTTTTTTTTTGCTTTTTTTTCTTCTTTCATTTATTTTTTATTTGTTTTTTTGTTGCTTAGGCAGTTTTTTCTTTTCACTTTGTTTTATTTTCTTTATTTTTTTAGTATTAGTTTTTTTTTTTTTATAAGTCAGTTGAAGATTATAAATCTTTCTACTTAAAAGCTAAGAGAAAAAGATTAAAAAAGGTGATTTTAATAGGCTATAAATACTATTAGTGATATATAGAAGTATTTATTTGTAAGTTTTTAATATAAAGATAAATTTTACTATAGCAAATTAAATTAGATATTTTGTGTTCTAAAGAACTAGATTGGCTAATACTTGCAACTTAGATAGACTTTAGACAACATTAGTTAAAATTATATTTTACTTGTGAGTTAAATATTTATACCTAATAAAGTATTAGCAAGATTGCTAAATTTACAAAAAAAAAAAAAAAAAAAGAATAATTATTTTTTTTGTTTTTTTTTGGTATTAAGGTGATCTCTTTGGCCTAAAGACTTTTTATTAAAGTATAGATAGAGTTTTATAATGTAATTATAACAATAATATATTAAGCCACACGTGCACCTTTTGAGTATCTAATTTAAGTAGTCTAGCTAAAGATTCTACACTATCTGTTATATCTGCACCCAACTAGAGAGATATCCATTTAAATTATCTGGTTCTTACTATCTCCATCTGCCCCTAACCTGATGGGTTTCCTTATTAAGCTAAATAAATATTAGTATTATTTAGCACCCTGCCTTAGAATTTACTAACCCATATAGACCTAGTCTATCCTTAAGGTAAACCTAACATAGTAGTACATATTCCACACATGTATTCATATGCTTGTTCCTATAACTTCTTTCTAGTTAATACATATTAACTTGCTATTCCGTGTTTGTATTTCATGCCATCTTTTGAGGTGCTACCATTTTACGGATATTTCTCAAGCACCAACTTTTCTAACTAGGTGCCCATTATATACTCCTTGCCCTCGTTTTAGTTCCTAGCAACCCCAGTACCCACATTTAGACCGTCTTCTTACTTGGATTCTTTCTTCTTTACTTCTAGCTAGCAACTCGGAAGAGCCGGTCTGCTTAGGCTTTAGGTGCCTGAAGAATGCTCTCTTCTTGGTTCATACTTTTGGAATATATATTCTTTTCCTTTAGTACAACAATCTAGCAGTTTGGCTAATATGTCCTTCACTATTAAGACTTGATCACTCGGTTCTCTGATTTCAGGCCTGGTTTGAATTTAGCTCTCCTGTAATATCATTATAAATCACTACTACCTCCAAACTTGGAACTTGCCAAACAGGTTTTTGGTTATTCTAGTCTTCTAGATTTATTGTGCCAAAGCTTCCATTACTAGATGGTGTGACCAAGGTTACAGATTAACTAAATTCAATTAATAGAAAGCTATCAACTATATATAGGCCTATTTTTCAAAATCGTCACCAGTGAAATTTAAACTTTAGGTTTGCCACTTGGAGAGGATAATAACTAGACCACTACACTAAGTTACTACATCTCAATAATTATTTTTTTTGTTATTTATTAATACAATAATATAATATATATTTTATTAGCCTTTTCTATTAAGAAGCTAATTATCTCTAGCCTATATAAAATTTAAGTAGATATGTAATAATAACAAGTACAATCTATTTTCTATACTAGAGATTTTTGTGATCTATAAAACAAGTTGATATAGAAAATTAAGAAAAAAAAATAACAATTAATCTTTATAAAATAGCACTAAATAAAGTCTAAAGTACTAACCCTTAGGGATACTCTAGATGATTTTATTTCTTTTTTTCTCATATTTAAAAAAGGATATATATCATTATCTATTGTATATAATATATTCTGTATTTATTTTTCTGGCTTTGAGTAATAGTCGCACAACTAGCATGAGAGTTGTATAATGAAGTATAACAGGAGTACTGGGTCCCAAAGTACTAAATTGTAGCTATACTTAAAAGAGGTTCTTAACTTCTATTCTAAGGTTTTAGGCTTCTATATCATCATAAGTAATAGTAATACTATAAACAAGATAGTAGCCTAAAATAGCAGTATAGAATATGAATGCACAGAAGTACGTTTAGAGAACTGCAACACCACAAAGGAAGAACTCAGAATGTCATCTTATAGAACATCAAACTGAAAGCACCAATAGTGCTTATCTTTAAAATACCAATTTGAAAGTAATACAAGAAGCAGTTTGAAAATAATGCTATATATGGAAAAAACAAAAATAATTGGTAAGATTTGTACAGTAGTATATATGTGGAATATATATAGTATAAATAAAATATAGGTGGTAGAACCTGGCTGATGAATTGGGAATTTGTAGTTGAATGGTCCAGTTACAAAGACCAAAGAGGTTGAATATACAAGATTGGTTATATATAGATGCTATATAGTAACTAAGTAAATTATACTTCATTAAAAAAATAGTTAAATCTACAAATAAAACAAAAACATATAATATATATATGTCCTATTTATAATAATAAAGTTAGTGACATGGCTATTTTTAAAATATATATATATTTATTTATCTAATTAATATATATATTTTACTTTTTTATAATTCTATTATCCACTAACTGAATTTTTATACTACCAAAATACTTACTATATGTTCTTGACTTTCTTAACCAGTTTTTATTGTTTTTATACATCAAAAGTGTTCCTTTATTTGGTAAAGCTATCCTCATACCACAGCCCCTTACTGTATTCACTGCTTTTCTCACTACTTCTGGATATACTATACATAATTGTCCTCTTATTCAAAATTTCAATGCCACCTTAAAGTTGTTAGTGCTATCTTGCCAATCATGAATTCATATACACAGCCTTCTGCAATATTATCTTTTGTGACTCATATTATACACAGTGCCTCATCTTTTTCTACAGCTCAGGCTCTTTCCAAGAATTCTTTATTAGCCAAATAAGTACTTCACATAGTCTTACTACTACAGAATTCCATATTTAAAAGCCCTCAAAGGTTATAGAGATAATTAATTTAATTAATTACCACCAGCTATACTCAAACCATCAACCTTGTCTGTAGAGGGTTAGGTGTCTAGACCACTAGGCTACAGAACTCTAATCCAATATATATATTGTGAAGCTATATATTGTTAACTTGTCACATTTCTTCTTGAACCACTTATAATAATTGATAATATTAAGCTAATTCTGTAGTACAAAAACCAGGTAGACAATAATACTATTCAATAAATTTTCTTTGTATAGTAATACACACTCTGATCTTTTTTGCAACTTTTCTGGTACTTTGAATTTTTATAATAGCATTCTGTATTTATAATTTATATCTGTATAATACAAAAACTTATTATTAAAATCATATTTAAAATAGATTTTTTTTTGATTTTCAGTAAATATTCATTATAACTTATACCACAAAGGAGAATATTGAAATTAAAGCTAAGAATACAGAAGTAAAACAGTATATAGATAAGCTTTAAAAAAAACTAGAATCTAAGAAAATCATAAATTTCAAGAAAAATATATCCTAATATCTCAAATATTACTTGGAAAAAAGCTGATAATTCAGTATCATCCTCTCTTCTTAAATGGATTAGAACTTGATACCTTCTTTCAAAAATGTCAAATTGCATTAGAAATACAAGGGGCTCAATATCAGCTTCATAGCACTAGCTGGTATAAAGCAGAGTTGTGAATAGACAATAGACAGATCAATAGACTCAATAGACAAGACAGATCTAGGATGTAGGTGAGATTTTCTGAGTCATATGCCCTCCGACTCTCTGACCCTATCCCAGATTTTTATTTGTGCATTGTCGTTTCAAATTTTGATTGTTATTATCTATTTATATTTATTTGTTTGTAGTCTTGTTTTAGTAATGATCATATATATACATATCCTTTTTTTTTATTTGTGTGTTATAATTTTTTTTTCAAATTTTATCTATTTATATATTTTTGTTTGTAGCCTTGATCTCTTTTTACTTTTGTTACTTTTGATCTTTTGCTCTCGGGTATGCTACTTCTGATCCTGTAATTAATTAAGTTCTTTTGTCTTTCGGTCTTGGGTATATAGTTAAATTGCCACTTTTTTTCTTCCAGTTCTGTAGTCGAGTTCTTTTATTTTTTGGTCTCGCTATTTGTAGTTAAATTGTATTTAACTACCACTTCTTTTCTTCCGGCCCTGTAGTTGAGTTCTTTTGTTTTTTGGTATCAAGTATGTAGTTAATTTGACTTCTTTTCTTCTAGTTTTGTAGTTGAGTTTTTCATTTTTTGGTCTTGGGTATGTAGTTAAATTGCATTTAACTACCACTTCTTTTTCTTCTAGTCCTGTAGTTGAGTTTTTTCATTTTTTGATCTCTGGGTATATAGTTAATTTGCATTAAACTATCACTTCTTTTCTTCCGGCCCTGTAGTTGAGTTCTTTCATTTTTTTGGTCTCATGATATGTAATTAAATTGTATTTAACTACCACTTCTTTTCTTCTAGCCCTGTAGTTGAGTTTTTTTGTTTTTTAGTCTCAAGTATGTAGTTAATTTGACTTCTTTTCTTCCAGTCTTGTAGTTGAGTTCTTTCGTTTTTTGGTCTTGGGTATATAGTTAAATTGTATTTAACTACTACTTTTTCTTCCAGTTCTGTTATTAAGTTTTTTCGTTTTTCGATCTCTGGGTATGTAGTTAATTTGCATTTAACTACCACTTCTTTTCTTCTGGCCCTGTAGTTGAGTTCTTTTATTTTTTTTGGTCTTGTGGTATGTAGTTAAATTGTATTTAACTATCACTTCTTTTCTTCCAGCTCTGTAGTTGAGTTCTTTCATTTTTTTGGTCTCGTAGTATGTAGTTAAATTGTATTTAACTACTACTTCTTTTTTTCTGGCTCTGTAGTTAAGTTCTTTCGTTTTTTGGTCTCAAGTATGTAGTTAATTTGACTTCTTTTCTTCCGGTCTTGTAGTTGAGTTCTTTCATTTTTTGGTCTTGGGTATGTAGTTAAATTGCATTTAACTACCACTTTTTCTTCCAGCCCTGTAGTTGAGTTCTTTTGTTTTTTGGTCCTACAGTATATAGTTAAATTGCATTTAACTACCACTTCTTTTATTCTGGTCTTGTAGTTAAGTTCTTTTATTTTTTGGTCTTGGGTGTGTAGTTAAATTGCATTTAACTACTATATTTTCTTCTGGTTCTGTAGTTGAGTTCTTTTGTTTTTTGGTCTTGTGGTATATAGTTAAATTGCATTTAACTACCACTTCTTTTCTTTCAGCTCTATAGTTGAGTTCTTTTATTTTTCAGTCTCAGGGTATGTAGTTAATTTGCATCTATACCACTTCTTTTCTTCTGGTCTTGTAGTTGAGTTCTTTCGTTTTTTGGTCTTGAGTATGTAGTTAAATTGTATTTAACTACTACTTTTCTTCCGGTCCTGTAGTTTAGTTCTTTCATCTTTTGGTCTTGGGTATGTAGTTAATTTGCATTTAACTACCACTTCTTTTCTACTGGTTCTGTAGTTAAGTTTTTTCGTTTTTCGATCTCTAGGTATGTAGTTAATTTGCATTTAACTACTACTTCTTTTTTTCCGGCCCTGTAGTTGAGTTCTTTCATTTTTTTGGTCTCACAGTATGTAGTTAAATTGTATTTAACTACCACTTCTTTTCTTCTAGCCCTGTAATTAAGTTTTTTCATTTTTTTGGTCTCACCATTTGTAGTTAAATTGTATTTAACTACCACTTCTTTTCTTCTAGCCCTGTTGTTGAGTTTTTTCATTTTTCAGTCTCAAGTATGTAGTTAATTTGACTTTTTTTCTTCCAGTCTTGTAGTTGAGTTTTTTTATTTTTTGGTCTTGAGTATATAGTTAAATTGTATTTAACTACCACTTCTTTTCTTTTAGCTCTGTAGTTGAGTTCTTTCGTTTTTTAGTCTTAGAGTATGTAGTTAATTTGTATCTACAGGGTCTGCCCAGAATTATAACTGTCACGTGACCAGCATGATTCACAATAGTCATATGATTGCTATTTGGCACCAGCTTTAAAATCAAATTAACTAACCATATTTAGTATTGTTAGCTAGATTTAGTTTACACTCAATACAATAATAAATATAAAATTCAAATCATGACTTTAATTAATTTTGTGACTTGAATAACTTGAATACTCGAGTCTAGTCATTAATTAAAAAGATTAATACTTGAGTAACTCATGATTCGAGTTTTGAGTTGAGTCCAGTCTCTACTACAGTATATATATACAGTATATATAGCTTTAAAATATCGTTAATATTCATTGTGTAAAAGAATCTAAAAAAGATCTTACTCCCAGCAAACTTCTCTTAGAAGACAAATATGGCTACTGTTTAACCACATATTGTGATTATTATGGCTTTACCACAAATCCGAAAGACAGATTCCTGAAAGGACCTAATACTCATTAGATATTGCATGATATATTTGAATAAGAACTTTAAGCAACCTTTCGTATGGCAATAGCAAATTATCGGTAAGGATAAGTAATATAAGGTTTATACTTTTGAGCATGTGCTTAATTCTTGAATGGGGCATACCTCGAGAATATAGGTTGTTAATTCTTTTGAACTCATCTATTTGTAAGAGAAACTGTTGTATAAAAGTTTATAAATAGTATCCTTATTGGTTACA